GGGATCTCTGAGTTATATATTTTGGCAGTGTTTCTGGTTGCTTGTCTTCTTGGAAAAAAATAAATGTGGAGTAGTTGTTGAAAGAATTTCCCTTTATTTCTCTAAAAAAATAATTTGTTTTTATTTTATGTGTATGGGTGTTTTGCCTGCATGTGTCAATGTATACAACACATGCGTCTGATGCCCACAGAAACCAGAGGAGGGTGTCATATCCCTTGGCACTAGAGTTAAAGATGGTTATGAGCCAACGTATGGGTGCTGGGAATTGAATCTGGGTCATCTGCAAGAGTTGCAAGCACGCTTAACTGCTAAGCTATCTCTCTAGTGCTTGGAAGTATTTTCTAGTGGCATATTTTAAGAGTGACCAGTTGTCTCATTAATCATGCTGATAAAAGATCCCAGGAAAATCTTGATGACCTTGATTGTGTTATGTTTTATTGAGAGATCTTATGATTTGTTAACATCTTAAACACATATTCTAAATCTCACCTAATGTATGACATCTTTTCTATGATAAATACTGTGTTTGAGGGGGTATCTTTTATGAAATTAATTAGGGAGAATCTTTTAAAAATCAAATGGTTTAGTGTATTTGGTCTCTTTTGTTTTGTAATTGCTTAACACAATCTGGATTAAAAAATGTGATTAAAAAAAAAATACCCCAGAGCCGGGCAGCAGTAGCACACGCCTTTGATCCCAGCACTTGGGAGGCAGAACCAGGCCCATCTCTGTGAGTTCAAGGTCAGCCTGGTCTACAGAGCGAGATCCAGGACAGACACCAAAACTACACAGAGAAACTCTGTCTCAAAAAACAAAAACAAAAAACCAAACCAAAACAAAAAACCCCTAGAAATTCCACATATTATTAAATCATTAAAAAGGAGTCTTCATTCACTAGCCATGTACTGGGTATCTAGGGTAAGCACTACGTTGTTGTAGGTACTGGGAACAGGGCATGCACGTCTTCTTCCTTGTGGGGTTTCTGTTTAGCAGATGAGACAGGCAGTAAGCTGTAAACGTGAGCACGCACACACATTCAGAGAGTGAAGTCCAGCATTGGCTTGGGTGGGCTGAGTGGGTTCCCCCGGGGGGTATGGCTTTTCACTTGTGATCTACAGAATGACAAGGGGCCAGTCCTTGAAAAGTCCACCCCAGAAGTTTCCCTGGCCAAGAGCAAAATCAAAATCACAAAGACCCTGCCTGAGTTCAGAAAAAGCTTGGCAGGATCCAAGAACAGGGGGTTGTGAGCCTGTAATGGGCCAGGAGGGGTGAGTAAATGGGGCATTATCCCACAGAGGCAGTTAGGTGGGTCCAAACTGCGGAGCCTTGGAGAACTTGTAAGGAATCAGGTTTCTCTTGGAGTGTAAAAGGCAGTGCTGTGGGGTTTTGAGCAGGGCAGTGGCGTGATTTACGATTTCTTAGGGGGACCTTGGTTGCTCTGGAGAAAGGGGCTATTAAAACCCAAGGAAGAAAAGCTGAGCGCCATGAAGCTAATATAACAGGCCAGGTGAGAGGTGATGGTCGTCTGCAGCAGAGATGGGAAGATGGGACTCGTGGTGTTCATGGTGCTCGCTGCAGGCGGAGTTTGGGGACAGATCCAAGGATGTGCTGGGGCAGACAGTGTGGACTGATGTGGGAACGGATGAGGAGTGGGAAGTAACCATCGCTCTTAATGCAGAATGAAAATGAGTCGGCATGGAGACTGATATCTTGAACACCCACCCCATCTCCATTTTGTTCTGGAGCCTGCATTAAAAGTTACTGTGCATAGTCCTGGTTATAGGGAAATGAGCTCTTGGCAAAAATAGCCCAGGCATGCTCACAGTGTCTGCCTCTCACCGTGGGCGCAGTGAATGAAAAGAAATCCGTCGCGGACATGACAGAAGCGGACCTTCATGCAGAAGGAGAGGCACAACTAGTTGTTTTGCTAATTGGCATCAGTGTCGAGAAGTCTTTTGTAATCTATGCAGAATCACCAAGTATTCCAACCTACATCGAAAGCAATTACATTTAGTGTCTCCGCGTCTTGGTCCTCTGAGAAGTTTTTGGTATGAGAGGACACTTTTCTGAAGGTGTTAACTTCCTAAGTGGTGTGTGAACTCCAGAGGTCTCCGAATCTGCTTTGGTTTTCCCCTTTGGTGGCAGATCCCACCCTCCTCTCCCCTGGCTGTTAGAGTCACTCCAGGAGACGTGGAGGTCCAAGGGGTCTAGAGTAGCCACTCTGTCAGAAAGCAAGCCAGCTTCAGACCTCTCAAGTCAGCCAGAAAGAGTCTGAAGGCCTCTGGCTGGGCTCCGCTGCTCAGGTGGGAGGGAAGGGTTAATACGGGAAGTGCCCATCCCCCATCCGAGCTTTGCCCTATCAGCTCAAGTTCTTCTGCGGTGCATCAGACTTTTGAGTAAGATTTTGTTAGAAAAATGTGTATATCCTTTAAAAAAAAAAAAGCTTCAGTACGCTGCTGTATACTTGCCCACTCACATAATCCCAACACACAGTTCTTCAGTGTGAATTGGGCACCTCCCCACACAACGCACAAAACCAGCTTTCTTAGCAACCGCTGTAAATCCCATGTGTTCCTTTCCAACTGCTGCTCCTCCACCAGATAGTATGAAAAATTTTCAGAGGGCTCTGCCTCAGGAGAGTCTCAGAGTTTGCAGGACCTACCTTTGATGTGTTCCTAGTTTCCGCTGATTTTTTTTTTTCCTAATCTCCTTGGACCTTTCTGAAATTGAATTTGATCCATTAGCCGTATCAGCTACTCCTCTCATATCCTGATGGTTCCCCGAGTGATGCAGTCGTCGGGGAGAGGGGTACTGAACTGAACCGGGCTCCAGCAGGGGGTACAAGCCCCAGGTCTTGGCCACTGGATTGCTGCTGCTCTGTCTCATACACCAGCTGGACTTATTCCAACACTCAGGGAACTCCAGCTCTGCTGCCTAATTTCATTCAGTACGGCATTTCAAAGTTGGGTTCAAGTTCTTTCCTTAGGGTCCTCTGTACCTGTCTATAACCTAGGAGATGTATCTAAGCACAGCTCTAACTGCCCTGACAGCAGGGCGCTGAGCTGCCACAGACCACCCAGACATCTTCTGGAGAGAATATCGATTAAAGTTGCAGGTGGACTGGAGCCTTGTCTTTGGCCAGCCGTGTTAGCTTATTATATGAGAAAGCATGCTTAAGAAACAATAAAACAATACAAAGGGGGGGGGGGCTGCAGAGATGGCTCAGCCATTAAGACCATATATTGGTCTTCCAGAGGATCTGAGTTCAGTTTCCAGCACCTACATTGGGTGGCCTGTAACTCCAGTTCCAGAAATTCAGTGCCCTCTTCTGGCCTCTGTGGGCATTGCACTCACATGCACGCATGCACACATAATAATACATAATATTATGTACATTTTTGTACATAAAATAAAATTTAAAAAAAGAAATAAGAGGTTTTATATAAATATGATTAGTAAAGAAAATCTACTCTGCTGATTGTTTTCATCCTTATTATAGAACTTCTCTTAAAGTAAACTCTTACAGAACCCCTAAGTATAACTCAGGTGGCACTTGGTCATCAGGAGCAGACACCTTACCCCTCTGCTCTCCTAGTCTCTTCCTCTTCTGGGGCTACCCCCACCCCAGAAATGTCTAGGAAATTCGGGGAATCCTTGGGAGCCATCTGGAGCATCTTCAAACTGTAAAGATTTCAGAAATAGAGAGAGGTCTTTGTGTTACTGGCTGACACTTAGTGAATCCACCCCTCTTACCCTTCAATGCTAGGTTTTCAGCCTCCCAGTCTCCATCATCCCTTAGAGCAGGTAAATACATACAGGAGGTCATGGTCTCTATCCCAGTACAATCTGCCCTGTCTTCCTCCAGGTGATCATCTGCAGGGCCACCACACCACACCTTTGTGAGATTCACACCTGCTTTATCCAGTCTTGAAATTCCTCCCGCAGCTCACAGCTCCTCGTTCGATGAAAGCCTTGAGCACTTAGCTGTGGCCTCATGGCTGCCCCGACAGAGCTGTACCCCTTCTTTACAGCTTCCCAGAAAAACACTTGCTTGTAGCTCCCATCACCCCTCCCCCTCCCCCTCCCCAATTCATCCTCATCTCCTCACCACCAGTCACCATCCTGCCCCTTGATACCAGATTCTGATCTCAAAGCCTTAGAGAAGCCCTCTGGTCCCCTGCTTCTGAGTCCCTCTGTCACTATATACCACTGTCAGGTATATATACATTCTATGTTATATACTATGTTATATACCACTATATACCACTGTCAGGTATATCTACTGCTGTCCTGTATCCTCCTCTAAGCCTACTGTTCCGTCATCTGCTGTGCACTCGCCACGTAACACCGTGACCTTGACCTCTGTGTCTGTCTCTTCCACTTAAATAAAGCTGCTCAGAGCCAAAGTCAGTTGTGGAAGGGATGCCTCTCTTTCTGCATGACCCCCAATTCCTCTGGCAGATGCCCGCCACATAAAGACCCTCAACATTTGAATGAACGAATCACCATTACTCACCACAAATGCATTTTTTTTGAAGTGTGAACAGTGGTTGTTTCCATAAATCATCTCCATGCTAATAAAAGCAGAAATGATTTTTTCAAAGCCTCATTTGTTACAAGACGTTAGTCCTCTCACTCTTCAAATGAGATCTCAGGTTTTTAAGGAGAATTTTGCTTGTTGAGATTATCGGAGCTTCCACTGTGCGTGGAAGTCTCCCCCCACCCACGCCCCAAGTGGAATCCTCTGTGATCTCAACAAGTTTCAGTGTTCAAAGCGGATTGACTTCATAATGAGAGGAAGAGAGGATGGTCCTGAGGGGGCGTGCCTGGTGAAGGCGTGTGTGTGTGTGTGTGTGTGTGTGTGTGTGTGTGTGTGTGTGTGTGTGTG